CAATCCAAACATACGAAATTGAATGTGCCAAGAAACAAAAACAATATACACAAGGCAATGAAACACAGCCATCCAAACATACGACACGAAATACTCAAAAAAACAAAAACAAAATACAAAGGCAATGAATAAGCAGTGTTGTTGTTGTTTATTTTTTATGAAATTTTCAGAGGTTGTCTCGGATTTTTGCTTATATCTCTGTTGTTTATGAACGGATTTTGCTGATAAATAGGAAACTTCTCGAAAGCATGTCTGATAGAATTATTGAAGATTTGGATTCCGAAGATATCTGGGGTCTTCAGAAAACTGATTTCAACAGACAGACAGACGGACATGGCTTAATCGACTCCGCTATCTATAAGGATTCAGAATATATATACTTTATGGGGTCGGAAAATTATATTTTGGAAATTACAAACGGAATGACAAACTTATATATACCCTTCTCACGAAGGTGAAGGGTATAATAACGTATCAAAAATACATTTATTAGTTAGTACCTTTTGAACAAGTTTGTTTATTTTTGTGCTTCTACTGATACATTCTCACCAGTTAGGTTTTTGACAGGGGACTTAGGTCTTTGACAATCCCATTCACCTACATATATGTTACTATATGAATAGGGAGTTAAAGAAGTACTTGCAATTTCTCTTACAAAACAGTTGTTGAGTAAGTTTTTCTGTTTTTTAATAATAAAAAGAGCCAGCTAGAATACGAACCAGGGACTTCGGTTTGTTAGTCAAATGTTCTACACACTGCACCACTGCTTAGCTATTTTATCGCGCGTCAAATAATGGTTTTCACATACAAAACTAATTTTGTTTTATTTTTTGTAAAACACAATTCTTAAAACGCAATTAAATAAAATGTGCAAATAAAATGACAAAGCTGAAAATAAAGTACTTTTATATCAGATTATAAGAAAACCATTACTAGAGTACTTCTAAGTAATGCAGACGGTAAGTAGTAGTCATTGAAAAGTAAGTGGTTATGGAAGTACAACCCATTACCGAGTTTTTGCTGGGTAGTTAAATATGTTTCGACGTAACGATATTTAGACCTGCAAAATTAGATTTTTCGACAAATCGACATATTTAACTGCAAAGTTAAATATGTTTTTTAAATAACGTAGCTAAAATTCATAAAGAGAATATTTTACCAAATTTTATAAAAAACTAAACTTTAGACCAAAATTACGCTTTGGTGCAAGTGGACGTAGAGGGGAGAGGCACGTACAACCACCATATGGAAAAAGTGTGTTAGGCTACAGGTTATCAAATCCTATTAATGGAACTCAAGAATTGAATTTGTGGGCTTTTTAGCGAATTAAAAAAAAAAATCAAAGTGGACATATAAGGGAGAGGCATGTATAGCCACAATATGGGAAATATATACAAGGGTCTAAGTTATCACATCCTGTACATAGAATGCCCAAATTGAATTTGTGAGATTTTTAACGAATTTTTGAAAAAAAAAGTTATTTGAAAAATTTCTTGATTTCTCTAAGGGATTTGGTCAAAGTGGGCATATAAGGGAGAGGCATCTATAGCCACCATATGGAAAAAATGTACAAGGATCTTAGTTATTACATCCTGTATATAGAATTCCCAAATTGAATTTGTGAGATTTTTAAGGAATTTTTGAAAAAAAATTATTTGAGAAATTTCTTGATTTCTATAAGGGATTTGGTCAAAGTGGGCATATAAGGGAGAGGCATGTATAGCCACCACATGGGAAATATGTACAAGGGTCTAAGCTATCACATCCTGTATATAGAATTCCCAAATTGAATTTGAGGGATTTTTAACGAATTTTTGAAAAAAATCAGATCTTTTTAACGATTTTCTTTGGATTCACAGACATCAATGCTATAAAAAAAGAGCCTCAAATCCACCTAGATTTTAATTTGGAACCACAGTGCGCAAACGGAAATACTTAGTTCTGATTGTAAAATAAAAGTCAGATACACTGACGGTCAGTTACTTTAAGTGAGGATAAATTAAATTCTCTATTAGGTCAGGGACTTAAAATACTGGTCACAAAATTAGATTGATATCTTTCTTGTAACTCACTCGGCAAAAAACACAGCTTTATAAATTAAAAGTGACGTCTCCAAAAAGTTAATTTTCACACTTAAAATAATATGAATTTTTTAGAATATTAACTTTACAAATCGAACTGAAACATTTTTATTTAAAAATGTATGTCTATTAGAATATGAAAAATACCATTGCAAGGTCTTGTAGGTCGTGGACAGATGTTAAGGAATGTGGTATTATGTAATTTCTAATAAATCGCGATAATATTCCATATTATAAATAATAGTATACATTTATATGAAAATTATTAAAATAATTTTAGCAAAAAGGAATTGCTTTCGGTGCGGAAAGTTTTTCACCAAATTGACTTTCAAACTAGCTTTTTAATTATCAGGACAGTATTGGCTATAAGGTAGTGCTGTGGTATTTTGCCGCACAAAAAAAGTTATGACCTTAATGTTTAAATTTACCCACAATTTAAAAAGTGATTAAAACATACTAGAATATTTCTTTTGAAACTTCATTTTCTACCAAAATTTTTAAATTTAAAGTTTAAATTTTAAGATTTTAAATAATAATTCCCAAATTTATTGCAAGGATCAACTTTTAAAAAGCGGGATGTCTGGTCACGTTACTCATAGTGTGTATTTAAGTATGTGATTTTCGAAGTTGTTTCGAAATAATAAAACACATTTACCACAAATTAAAAAGAAAATAAAATAAATTATGAACTAAAATTGCAAGCCGTTATCTGGTTAAGTATAGCTAAAAAGGAACGCATTAAAACACGTACTTAGAGATTCCTCCAATCCAATGCATATTCCTGAAAAAGCGTACATATGTATTAAATATGAAATAAAACTTTGAATTTCCATAATTTGTATACTATTTAGTACATTAGTACATAGCACATTATCGGCTTAATAAAACTGCATTTACCATGATTTTTAGCGAAATTTTCGAATATAAACGAAATCATATATTTCTATTAAATCGTCAATACAAAAGAAAACAATCGAAAAAATTATGAGTAAAATCCAAGAGTTTTTTTTTTTGAAATTGCTATTTTTAAATAAAATTATTAAAAAGTGTTATTAGTTTTCATCAATACTAGAAGCAAACATGTTTTATTTAATTTTTCAATCTATATATATAAAATTCTAACGTTACTGACTCACTGACTGATCCACTAAGACGGGATTTTTGGAAATTCGAATGTTTAGGGGGTAAAAAGGGTAAAAACGGGTAAATTCGGTAACCTCATATCTCCTAAACTAGAAAAGATAGAAAAACAGTTTAAAGCACATTGTCGTTCATTTTAGTCAAATTCGGCCCCTTTAGGGAATAAACGGGTAAAAACCGTATTTTGGTACTTTTTTTTAATCCCATGTATCTTTTAAACCAATGAACATACAAAAAATATTTTTGACTCCTTCATAACCTAAAGAAAAAATAAAAATAATAATTTAGTACTTTTTGGATATTCTGAAAATTATTCCTATTTTTTTGGTACTTTTTACACAAAACATTGTTTCCTATGTATTGATTTGTATTAATTTGTGAATGAATACTTAATGATGGGCTCCCACAACCATATTGCAACTTTTTACAATAAAATGTTTATTACTTCAATAGGGAGAAAAATGTATCAAAAGGGGGGGAAACGGGAAATTTAATTTTATTCAAACTCACTGACCCAATTTTAATAAAATTGGAGAAATTGATAGATTTAGTAACACTTAATATACCAATGGGGTGTTGCTTGGAACTCTTTAAAAGTTAATTTTGAATTTTCTATAACACTGAACCTAGGAACATGAAATTAAGCATGTAGTGCCCCATGTAAGTTCTCCAAAAGGTACTTTCTGTATTTTCTATAATATTGAACCTAGATACATGAAATTAAGCCCGAAATGTAGAGACCTAAGTTAATGATAAACTATAAAAGGGTACTTTTTCGTTCTTTAACTGGTACTTTTTGTGTTTTCTATAATATTGTAGTGCCCGGAGTAAATGAAAACCTATAAAAGGGGAATTTTTGGTACTTTTTCGTTCTTCAATAGGTACTTTTTGATAATATTGAACCTAGAGACATAAAATTAGACATTTAGAGCTCTGAGTAAATAAGAACCTATAAAAGAGAACCCTTTGGTACTTTTTCGTTCTTCAACTGGTACTTTTTGAGTTTTCAATTACATTGAACATAGAAATATTTATATAATATTTACTTAGAAACATGAAATTAAATAGAAGATGTCTTTTGGTATGTTTTTGTACTTCAACTGATACTTTTTGAGATCTCTAAAATATTGAATATATGTATAAACATAAAATGAAACACGTAGTGTACTGGTAGAACGAAAATATATAAAACGAGATTTTCTGATACTTTTTTTTAATAATACTTTTTGAATTTTCTATTATATTGAACCTAAAAACATAAAATTGGACACGCAGCTTCCTGAGTGTATAAAATTTTATACGAGGAACTTCTGGTTGAAAATTTAACATGCACCATCCTTTTTCAACTAAAATCTAAAAAAGAATCTAGAATCAATCATTATTGATTGAAAATCTATGAAAAATTTAACCTAGGAAGATTTTTTGCTGGGAAGCTACGGTAAGCGAAACAGTTTGGTGACCAGAATAACCAAAAATATTGCAATTTCGTTGATCTATGTATGTATAAAAGATAGATCCATTAATTTTTGACATTGAATATTAGTCTCTACCATTTCTCAAGGCAATTCTATAATTGATTTGAAACCAACTTAATAATTCTGAGGCAACGCCATTAAGGAAGAAAATGCCAAAAAAAGGGTTTGATTTTATATAAAATACAATGAAACTCTGATATTAATACAAAGTATTGTAGTGTAAAACCCCTTTTAGAAATTTATAATTAATAAATTCGACTCGTTTGTATTTGACAAATAGGAAATAATTAAACAAAAATACATGTTGCTTTTGCCAAGTTGTATTTGTTGTAGAATTGGGACTACCTGTAAATCATTATACCTTAGTAAACATTAACTTTTAACAAATTGACTGAATACGATAAGACAAATAATATTTATAAGGAATTTTTATGTTCATACTCCACACAAATTTGGATTACTGGATCGTTTATTGTTTTCTTTACTTGACGAGCAAATATAAAATCCAAATGGCCCCAGTGAGAATCTGGTACTTCATAGAACAGTTTTATATTGGGCAAACGATAACGAAGACGTTGTATATCTTTATAATTAGCCGATGTGTCAGCAAGGCCATAGTAAATATACATATTTGAAGTGATAAGCTCAATTGGGTAGGATGGTGGTTCTGTTTGTCCATACTTTTGTTTGTTTTTCCTTTCGCCATGGTCAAATTGTCTAAACTCATTACTCACATATTCTTGTATATAATGTATACCCTGATTTGTTGAAATTCCAGCAGGATGGGTTTCCGCAAGCAGTGGAAGCAATGTCTTGTACCAAAAAAAAAAAAAATATTGTAAAAATAACGTTAATATGTCTGATGTAAACTTACCATATTTAAATTTCTATTTTCTGACCCAGCCCATAAAAAAAATAGAGTTGAACAATACTTTGGAAATGCCGATTTACCTCCACAAGCAGTATCCAACAAACGCTGTACAAATGGATTATAGGGTATAAATTGTTGATTACCCAAAAAATTGGATCCCTTTCCAGGAGTACCAACATAAGGGGCTAGACCCACTACAAGATTATCTGTAACGTTGCCCATAAATATTGGTGGAGCCAACATATGAGCAGTTTTTATTTTTTTATTATATTCGGGACGTGTTGAAGCCATAACAAAGAACACTGTATTTCCTTGAGAATGTCCAACGTAATGGACTTTGGTTTCTCCAGTTTTGTTTAATATGTAATCAATCATTTCTGGAATGTCAATGTTTCCGATTTCGTGCCAACTAAATGACCAAAAATTCGGATGGTTTAACGATAATCTCGTATTGTTTCGGGAGTATATATTACCCCGCGCATTCCCTAGCCAGACGTCGAAGCCGTTATCAGCAAAGTTAAATGCAATGGAATCATTTGGCCCATTCAATATGAAAGAATCTGAGCATGAAAATAGGCCGTGTTGTAAAAATACTACTGGATTTCCTCTATCTTTATTGTTTAATTTTGGGGAATATGGTATCCGAAACATATTCAAAACATATCCATCAGTTGTTTCAATAAAATGTGATTCAGCAGGATAACCATGTTCCCGTATACGATCAGCCTGTTATTAAAAACACTTATAAATAATGTTATAGACGAAAAATACAACTTACAGAACTTTTAATAGGTTTAAAGGGAATATCAATAAATGGATCAAACTCTGTAAGTTCTTCTGCAGATGAAGCAGCAAATATAAACAAAATAAGTAAAAACTGCTTTATTAAGACCATATTCACTTATTAGCTGCAAATAACTGTTAACAAATAATTTTACCTCCACGTCAAGTACTATATATATACTATAAAGTTAAATCGCCAATCGAAGCGGATGAACTTGATTATCTTATCAAAAAAAATTGAAATTATTTTATAACCTTTTGAGATTAGTTATTCTACATGCTCAAGGGTGGAAACGTGTGATTGATGATTTTTGTTTACAATTAAATAATGTGTACATTAGGGATTTTGAGAATTGGCATGGCATAGACAAGATAGTATTCAATAATAGAAAAAACTACGGTATTAGTTTTTCTCGGTTGTTAAAAAAGTTCACGCACCAAACGCAATAAAGTTTTTCATTGCGCATTTTAAATTACTTTGGAAAAATATATTTTATTCCTTTGTTAACTTGTTTTTATAACTTATAAACGCTCAGCTCAAACCGTTAAAGCTAGAATCATGATTATTTAAAAATTATGAAAAAATTAATTTCCGTTTCCCGGAAATTTTGTAAATATTAATTTATAACTATAATAAAAACATTTTTTACTAAAACTGACTGCTTTTTTATAAATATAACGATAACTAAAATATTTTGTTAAGAGCAAATCAGAACATACATATTTAAATCTCGCATTACAAGGAAATTTTTATAAAACATTAATGTTTTTAATCAATGTGTAAAATAAATATTAATGTTACCTTGTAAAAATTGGGACTACTTCTCACATGCGTGTTAAGTGTTCCCCGCAAGGAACTGGTCCAAAACTAATCCAAATTTATTAATAAAACATTATACATTGTCATGTTAAATGGAGGACCATGTAATATTGGATCATATACTCCAATAATTTTGGTAGGGGACTAGCAAAATCAAAAGTTTCCCAAAAATAGTTTCCTAGTGTGGACAGGCAGAACCAAAGTATAACAAGTAGTCCGACTCTTTGACAGCAGTACCTAACTCTAAGCATGTGTTAGTGAAAAAGTACCTAAGTCTAAATATGTGTTGGTAACGAAAATGTATATGTGTTGGTGCATTCTGAACACACAGAGTTTTATAAAAAATTACAATTTTAAATTTGTTTGAATTTTCAATACCAAAAATTAAAACTCTGTAAATTAAAATTCAACAACAAAAAAATAAAATGTCAATAAATAGAAAAAATATATTTTTTTCCAGTTTAAGAAAATATTTTATAATATTTTATGTGAAAAGTGCGATGAATCTATTTTAAAAAATTACAGATTTTAACGATATTAACTACAAATTTGACGATTTTTAAAACAAGATTTTTTTACTAATTTTCATATACATATTTTATCATTATTCTATCTGTAATTTGAAAGAAAATGAATATTCAATGAAAATGTTAAAAAATTAAAAATTATACGGACTTATAAAGAAAAGGCCAAGCTAACTATCGTTACTTAATATGTATAAGTTTTTTATTTCGAATAATGTTTTAGAATAGAGAATGTAAATGGATATTTACTAGGGTGATCGATTATTCGACATTTTCCAAAAACCGGTATTCGAATAGTTGACATTTGAAAAAAACCGGTTGATATTTTTCAAATTCAGAAAAATCCGGATAAACGGTTTTTTATTATATATAAAAAAATCTATTTTAATTTGAAAAAATAATGTTTTTGTTTAAATGTGATTAATAAAACATGGCCCGAACTGATTTTTAACAGAAGATTATAACTACAGATCTAGTCGTCTAATTTACATTATTTCTTTAATGTAAAAAAAAATAGGAAAAAAGTGGGACACTTCTGTTAAACATAAGGTACTATGTAATCCTAACTTATTCTAAAGTCCCTGTTTAGGCAATTTTCATAGGCATTCCAACACTTTCATAATATTTCAGCCGCAAATTAGTTATTGTAATTGGAATATAATCTTAAGATTGATAAAATTTTATCAAACAGTTATTCCAATCAATTTTACAAATAAACTTTTTTTATTAATTAGCTCCTCGACTCGAATGTTTTTATAATTTAGACGTATTATTATTTACTTCAAGTGAAAGAACCGGATTATTCAATATTCAAAAAATCAACATTTAGAAAAAACCGACACTGAGAAGAAAAAATCGGTTAAAAAAACCGAGTCGATCACCCTAATATTTACCAAATATTTGATGAAAAAGAAAAAGTTGTTCAGAATTTCAGATACGGACGGTACGGCAGAAGGATGATTTTCCTATGTAATGCGTTGTGCGGTTCACTGGCCAATAGACAACCAATATGTGTTTTCTTCATGAACAACGTGTCTAATTAATAACTAGAATTATTTTTTATATTACACATATTTGAGTAAAAAAAATCATAATTTTGATAGAAAAAATAGAAATGGAAAAAAATATTAAAATAATCTCACAAAATAAATTTAAAAAATTTATTTTAAAGAAGTACAGTGATAAGGTACCGGTATCGGTATTTTGACTTATATCGGTATTGGTATTTTAGCGTTATCGGTATTTTAACTTAATTCAGTAGCGGTATCTTAGCACTTCTTCTTTGTATAATTTAGCACTTTTTCTTTGCATTAATAAGCTAAAAATTTCGATAATTTTTAGCTTACATATACACAAAAGATGTTTTTCACCAAAACACTTTTTACGTGTTAAGGCCTAACTATAATATGCTAAAATAAACTGAAGTCAGCTTAAGCAACTATGCGAACACATATAAAATGTATGTGACAAACTATAAAAAAACTATCAGAAACTACGTTTTAATTACATTGATTTGTTGTTGTACGAATGAGAAGAATAACAAAACAAAACGAGTTTCCGAGTACGAGAAACTCCGTACCGCGAGCAGGGCTGCCAGATAAATTTGTAGAAATATCGGCAATTTTTTCCCAAAAAATCGGCATTTATCGGCACTTACGTTTTAAAAATCGGCAATAAATCGACAATTGAAAGAAACACTATTTTGTACCAAAGAAACATAACACAAATAAATTCAAAAATCACAACATTGTTTTTACATACATGCATAATTCAGGGAATTTTTATTCAGAATAGGTCTAATAAAAGAACTCTTTGTAAGGGTACACCGAAACTTTGGTTTACTGGAATAAAATCTATTAGAATTTGTGTCACTTTTGCAGAAAAATGTAAATGCATAATTATTTGTGGATTACTATACATTTACCCTGTAAAAAATTTTCAAATTTTGGTTATGAGTGATGTAGTTATTTCATACATTACTTGACAGTGAGTGATCGTTATCAACAATATTAATTAATTTTTACAATAGGATTTGTAACCAATTGTCTAGAGCGTGTGTCTAATGTGGAATTAGTTAATGGTTCTAATCCTAGTCAATATTAGAAGTTTTTTGAAAAAATGTTGTTTTTTAAATTTTTGTTAAAACCATTCCAATTAGTGCAAAGCCGATTTTAAATCCAAGAAAGTGGGGTTATCACATTTGTTATTGGTTATCGTTGAACAAAAACCGGATAGGTAAAGATTTTGCTGAGTACATTTTTATAATGGGAAATTTTCTTCAGATTTTTTAACTTTTCCACAAAAATGTGTAAATTTATTTTCGAACCATAAAAAATTTCTTAAAAATTTTAAAATTTTAGCACCCTTAGATCAGACTTTTAGAACCTATTCAGGATTTTCATACATAAATTGTGTTTCCTTTTCATAATCGATCCAATTGACATTGGTGATGGAGCAAATTGTGTTCTACCGTACTGTAAATTTTCCTTTCCCAATTGTTTTAAAAGCTCCATGTAATTTTTGCTTATGTAAAGTTATAATAAATTCGTTAATTTGTTCGATTGGGTAAAAAATCGTCATTTTTGAAGCAAAAATCGGGAAATCGGCACTTTCCAATTTGGAAGGTAAAATATCGGCAAAATGCCGATAAATCGGCAAATCTGGCAGGCCTGATCGCGAGAGAGATGAATGATATTCTTTCTCTTTCTCTCTCACGCAAAATCAAAAGTTTCCCAAAAAATGTTTCCTAGTGTGGACCGGCAGTTAAGCAAGGAGCGATACTGACAGCACATTACGTACGGAATCAATTGTTTGTTCATAATACACAAAGAAAATAAAGAAAAAATTGAAAGCTACAAGAAAATTAATTTATTTTAATAAAATATTTTGAAATATGTATTTTTTTTATTACGTGTGTCACATAAATGTGTAAATGGAGCTAAATTGTTTTTATAGCCACCTAAAAGTTTCCTCGGATTTTCTTAATCATTTGAGAGACTTTTCGTTCGATTTTTACATTACCTTAAGCAAGCTTATGCACATTATAGTTGGGCCTTTAAAGATAATAAAAATTTTATTTTTGCATACAATTTTTTAAAAAGCAACCATTTTGTGAAATTATATAAAAATTTTATTTAAATTTTGTTTACATATTTTTTTCTGAAAACAAAATTTAGAATCATATAAAAGAAAAAATCTATCATTATTTTTTAATTTTTATATTATGTAGCTACATCGGTTTTTTAGCCTTCTTCAAGATTCCTACTAGTCTCCGAGATATGACCAAAAATGTCCATGTATCTTTAAAAAAATTATGAAATTGATATAATTTAATTTAAAGTTTTCAACACTGAACACCAAGAAATGAAACTGTGACGTTTTTTTACAACAATAACGTTACGCTCTTCTCACAGACGAGTTCAGTGTAACTCCAACACACAAAAACTTTAAAACTTTGTCGCGAAAATTCGTGGCTTATAGCACTTTAAAGTATTTTTTATCACTTAAAGTTATATTTTATTATTTTTTTGCACAATTTAAATACATTTAATTGCCCGAAAAGAATCTATTTTTTACAAACGAAAAAAAATATTTTTTATTTTTTTGACATTAAAATTTTGTTGTGGAAATTAAAACCGAAAAAAGACAATGTTGTAAATTTTCGTAAGGTACAAGAAAAAAATATTTCAAATAAATTATTTATTTTTTCAATATTGCAGCCAACATACATTCTTCTAAAATGTTTATAGATAAATTATATTGCAAAATATTTAAAGAAGCCTTTTAAAATAAAAATTTAAATGTGATAATTT